ATTCCACTATCATTGAATGTTCAGATTTCACTTTTTTGGCTACTATAAGTAAGAGAGAAAGTACTATCTTCATGCACACAGTTACTGGTTCATTTCCTAAAAATAGATAACCAAAAATCATTTCAAATTTTGTAGGAAGGTAAAATGTGCACACAATGTTTCAATTTCTCTGATTATTTGTGTTGTAAATTTTTTTCTGCTCCTTTACTGTTTGGTTCCTTTTTTTGAATTGTCTAGTCACATCTTCTGTCCATTTATTGAAGTATTACTATTAAACTAGTTAGAATAAACATTTTAACACTTTGTCGTACGTGTTATACCATTTTTGCCTGTACTTCTCTAAAATTTTAGCTACAAAAGTAATATAATCCCATTACAGTAATTTTGACACCTAGAGAAATATTTTAAACAATCATGAATAAGTCTTCTACCACAAGACAGTCACTATTACCATTTCCACTGTTTTTTCTCATATGCACGTGCTTCAGAAACTTGTAATTGCAATGTATATACAGTTTTTAAGATCAGCTTTTTGGGAAGCTAACACACTTGTTAAGTATTTTTCTGACATACTTTATGTCAGTGTTGAACCTATGACATGTGTGCCACAATGGGCTGCTTGCATCCTTAAAAGCTCTAACAGGTTCACTACCACTGGCCTCGATTCTTCATAATTATCATTAAAAATAATAGCATAATATATGAGGGTAGAGTTCAGTGAGAGGCTCTGGGTTCAACTCTCAGCACCAAAACACATAGGCATACACAGGAATGTACACACACACACACACACACACGCACACACACACACACACCAAAAGAAAACAAATACTAATAAGCCATGGAGTAGAGTCACCATTCCCTTATTGCTAGACATGCATATCATTTCATTTTCAAAATTCTGTAACACTGAATGAAAACAGTTTTTACCATATTTTGAATTATATTCTTAGGAGACTTTCTCAGTAAAATAATTACATCAAAGGACATTAACACATGGTAGGTACCAAAAGATTTTAAGAAGTTAAGACAAACCACACTCACTAGCAGACCAAGTACCACTTTTTTTTTCCAATTTTGTTAAATTCAGACTTAAAAAGAAGATTACCTATTTAGCATACAGAAGGCACTGGGTTTGATTCCAGTACCAAAAAAAAAAAAAAGAGGCCAGTTATTTAATTTATATTCCTTTGATTATTAGTGATGACCACTTGCTTTCATTAGTAGTGATGACCATTTTCTTTGAACAGCAGTGATGACCATATGTTTTCCAGTTACACGAAGCTCTTGTAAATTGTCTAGTCATGCTCTCTATATTTCTTGTTATATATTATACTACATGAGTGCACTAAGTAATACAAACTTGTCACACTTTGTCATATTTAGGTCACATAGGATTTTTCAGTCTATGTTTAGATTTTATTTTATTTTTTTGATTTTAGTTTATTTTAAAGAGAAAATGAAATAAAACAAAATTTCAAAACAAGGTAATAGGAGAGTAACAATAGTTAACACACTGTGTATTGTTATTTTCAAAGTAGTTAAAAAAACTTTTCAAAGTTATACTGGTTTTAAAATTTTATAGTCAGATTTGATCTTTTCCCTTGAGAATATTTTCTATTACTTGCTAAGCTTAGAAAATGATTCCCTGTTAAAAGGTGGATAGTTATTTATTCTGCTTTAAAAATTTGCCTTTAAAAAAAAAAAATTTGCCTTTTAATATTTAATTCTTCAATCCAACTGCCAATTATTTTAGTTTATTACTGGAGATGAATAAACGCTATAAGCTGTCACAGTATTATTTAATGACTATCCTTTCTTCTCTTTCACTTGCAATGCATCTTTATAATAGATTAAGCTCTTACATATTACCTGCTGTAACTTATATCACTGCCACCAATGTCTTCATTATTCTAGCATTGTATGTTTAACACCTAATAGCATTACTCCTTCATTACTTTGCTGCATAATTTCCTTAGAAACATCATTCTTATTTAGCTTTTAAATGTACTTATTTGCTGCCTTATCCATAAGATACTAATTTTTTAAGGATAAGATTGGTTTGTTTCTTTAGAATAGACTGCAAAGAATGCATTACTGGCTCAACAGTTAGGAACATTTTCCCCACTCTTATCTCTTACTTTCAGTGTTTTCAGAAAGGGTTGGGACAGTTTCATTATAACTCTGGATATTTTGTTGTTGTGTTTTCATTTATTTATTTATTTTATACAGGGTCTTGCTACAAAGCTTGGACTCACAGTGATCCTCCTGTCTCAGCCTCCCCCAGTTCTGGGACCACAGGCATGTGACACCATGCCTGGTTTTGGTGGCCAGCACAACACACCTGGGGTTCTGGAGCCGGCATGGTATGCAGCATTGGTGATCGAACTCAGGTCCTTGTGCTTGCCAGGCACACACTTAGACCACTGAGCTATTTCCCCAGCTCAACTCTGGCTACTTTTTTAAAAAGATAATGTATTGTACATTTTATTTCAAGAATGATATAAGACAAACAGCATAAAGATGCTCAGATTCCCTAAGATAAATACATTTCAAAGATTCTCATTAAAATGAATCTGTAGTAACTCTGGATATTTAAAAAAAAAGATTATATTTTTCAAACTTGGAGAATATATATCTTGCTTCAGTTTATATACTCTGCATATTAGTGATGATAATAAGCATATGCTTGACATACAGTGTTTTATCAATGCTTATTCAATGAATACATGACATGTATAAATCTGTGCACATATTTGGGGATGGGAAAGTTTAAACAAATACTGTTAATATAACCAGTAACTGCTGTCTAGGTGTAAGCTTGTGGGCTTGTAGTCCATCTATAGAGAGGTTTTAGAGATGCCCAAAGCACGTGAGAATTCAGATTTGAATTGGGACAATCTCTAGAAACTATAATTTATATTTACCATAAGCATATGTGTTTCCAGGCATGATCAGCTGGAGACTGTTTAAAACAGTAAGATAAGGATAAACGCATACACTCATGCCTGCATACCCTGACAGCTATGATTGGCTCAAATAGTGTACATACTTTTGCAGTACAACAGCAGTAAGAAGAGACTGGTATGTGAATATTCTATTAGAAGTTGATTCAGGCCCCAGTAGGCCTTTTGCAGTGAATTGAAATACATGAGAAACTAGGTCTGGCTGACAGGAGCAAGTACTTGCTATGAAAACACATTACATTTCTTCCCCACTTGTTGAGCCCAGGAAGCCCCTTTCATTGTGAAGCTTGAAAGACTCATTTTTTCCTATAGAAATCAGTCTTTATTTTAAACTTTTAAAAATAAAGCAAAAGCTAACAAAAAGGGGAGGGCTATTGGCTCTGTTTTTGAGATCATGCAAAACTTGTCAAAACATTGGTTCTCCTTGCTCCCTGCATTAGTAGATGCCAGTAGTGAAATTTGTCAAGGACTTCCTTTTGCATAATATATGTCAGTCTCATGAAGAGAACATCATATTGTTATCCTAACTTGCATATGCTAAAACTGTGCTGTGCTCTAGTCTGAAAAACCAAGTACTGTTTTCTTTTTTTAATTATTTTTTACATAATCTTTTTTTTTAACATTTATTTATTTATTTATTTATTTTGTGTGTGTGGCCAGCTCAGCCCACCAGGGGGCGGGGCTGGCTGGCATGTGGTGCTGGGGGATTGAACCGCGGTCCCTGTGCTTTGCTTAGCTTAGCTTGTTCTAAGTAGGTGCTTTAGACCACCGAGCCATCTCACCAGCCCCTACTGTTTTCTTTTGACTTAAGACTAAAAGTATATAGGTTACTGTTGATTGCACAATTGATTTGTAAATGGTGCACTAAAGTTACTACCGCAGCTGTTCCCTTTCATTCATTGGATCAATAAATTCAGAGTTTCAAAAAATCTTCTCTTGGGCTGAGGAGATAGCTCGGCGGTCTAAGTGCTTGCCTAGCAAGTGCAAGGACCCAGGTTTGATCCCCAGTACTGCATGCTGTGCCAGTCCTGGAACCTTGGGCATGCTGTTCTGGCCACTGAAATCCAGCGTGGTGGCACATGCCTGGAATCCCAGCACTGGGGAGGTTGAGACAGGAGGATCACTACAAGTCTAAGGTTTATATGAAGACCCTGTACCAAATAAATAAATAAATAAATAAATAAATGAAGGAAGGAAGGAATGATTTTTTAAAAATGATCTTCTCCTCCAATGTGTACTGAGTGCTTCTACTAGCCAACAAGATGTCAAATGCTGAAGCAGGGCCAGCTGTTCATGTCAGAGTATCATCACTGGACAGTTTAATACGGAATTACAAAAGGACCTTTCCTCTAACCCCATGTAGCACCTAAAAGAGCTATTTTACAAGCCATTTCTCCTTAGAGAGGCATCTAATTCTCCACTGCCACTTTCTTTGGAGATGGCAACATAAGCCTCCTTCTTTATTATTTGGCCTTTTGTTCTAAACCTATTTTCATCAATTGTCCACATATATGATAATCTGTTTGCCACTTCTGTGAAGAATTAGCTTTAAAATGCACTTGTGCATTTTAAACATTCATGCTGTTTCTACTGCGAAGTCTCTTCAGCTCACACACGAATTCCTTTGGTACCATAATTAATGCTGTCCTCTGATTATTCCACTTTTTAAAATGTTTCTGGAGCATAAGTCCACTGAAGACAGGGAATTTCCAGAAACTGGAAAGGAATATAAAAGTTATCTAGTTACAGCTTTTGCCTGGCGTGTTTTACTGATGAGGAAACTGAGGCCTAGGGAACTTAAGTCTAAGTCAGTTAGCCAAGTTAGCAGAAAAACTCAGTCAGGTGTCCTGACTTTTGATAGTGTGCTTTTTACTAGGTTAGGTCATCTTCTATTTCACTTGCATATTTTCAGAATGCTTTGCAAAATGCTAAACACCTCTCTTGAGGAACAGCAACACAATAAGCGCAAGAGTTTCCATAACTGAGAAACTGACTCAAGGAAAGGGTCAGAAAGCAGAAAGGTCATTTCCTTACTTCTTTGCATGATGCCAACCTCCAGACCAGTTAATTGCTACTTTGCACATCCCATCGATCAGGCACTGGGCAGCTGTGATTGTAGCCCCTCCTACAGCTGCTGCATAGTCAAATATCCCTTCAGTAGCTGGGCAGTCATAGCCTGAGGACAAAATTTGGAAAGGTGGGTTAAAGATGAACTGGAGAAAGAAGAATAGGTTGAATATATCCTATTACAAGGCTACTGTGTTGACATCAGCTCCAACGGACACAAAAACATTTCCAATATTGAAAAGGAAGATTTTAAAGTTTTAGAGCTAGAAAGGACGAACATTCAAGATGAGCTGGTCACAATCTACAGATGGTGAAACCAAGACCTGAGAGGTAATGTGCCCCCATCTTTGGATAGGGCCTTGCTATGTAGCCTAGGCTGTTTTGCAAACTTGCAGTGATCCTCCTGCTTCAGCTTCTAGAGTGCTGGGATTACAGGCATGTGCCACCATACCTGGTGAGGTGATATATCTTGCCAGGGGTCATACGGCCTTTGACTCAGGTCTCTTGATCCCCAGTCCACTGTGCTTGTACTAAACCATGTTGTTTTTCTAAACTGTATCTTTGGCTACTTACAGTTTTTAAAAAGTATCTGTTTAAGTTTCAGCTAAGTTTTTTACCCAGAACATAAATAGGTATTAAAGATGTAAGGTTACAGCACAGCTAAGTCAGTGTATATACAACCAGGCCAGATCTGAGTGCTATCATGAAGGATTCAGCAACTGAAAACTTTCTCTTCTATCTGATTCATTACTCAGTTTGCCCAATTCATATGGCTTCCTTGGTTAGTGAGCTTGGTATGGTTAAGCCAAGAGATTAAGTAAATAGTTGGGGCTGGAGATGCAGCCCGGTGGTACAGCATTTGCCTAGCATGTACAAGGCCCTGGATCTGATCCCCAATCCCTTTAAATTGTTTAAGAAGCATTAGAAACCATTATACAAGTTATATGTAAGGAGTATGATCTACAGGGGGAGGCTGTAGACCTCCCATCACTGCCTGCTAAGGATCTTACCTAGCCCATATTCTATGGAGTCTGGATGGTCATCATCACCTTCCTGGCTCACCTTCTGAAGGTGCTGAAGATAGGCATCAGTATGGAAGGTGGCCATCTCCTCCATGGAAGCCACTTTGGGCTTCACGATCCTAATAATAACAGAAAGAACAAAGAGAGGTAAGTGAGTCAGAGCCAGAGTATGTTAAGAGGCTGGACAAAGAAGCCAACAGTCTGAGCAGCAAATATAACTCCTAGCTTCTGTTTCCAGTGGGCTGAAGTAATAGATACATTCTGTTCCTCCACTGTACTGCCCAGTCTTCTCTTCCTTGCATCTATAGCAATGATTCAATTAATAAGGGGCAAGAGAATAGATTTTTCTCGAGTTTGTAGGTAGGTAAAAATAAGTGACTAGTTATATTTAAGTTAAATAAGTAGTAATTAAACAAACTTTGCTCTGTAAATTATAACTTTCATGATAAACCAGTAGGCAGAGATGTGGTCACCTGAATCATTTGCTAATTAGGCTTTATAATCCTTTAGACTAGGTCTTTATTTTATTTTTGGTGCTGAATATCCCAGTGAAGGCATGCATGCTAAGCACTAAGTATGAGCTCTACAACTGAGCTACATCCTTCCTTCCTTCTAGCTTTATCTTAGTAGGCATCTGGATTATCATGCATTTTGAATTTGGATTCAGAGAACTGAGTTCCTGTCTGAATTCTGTAATTAACTAGCTCTACAAACTCAGGTCAGCTGACTATTCTACACCTCCATTTCCTCATTTGTGAAACAGGGAAACTTCTGATACATATCTGTAGATTAAGTGATAAAATACTTAAAATTCTTTGTAGATAACTGTCTTCAAAATTAAAAGATAGTAAATAGGGAACTCAAAATATGAGAAAATTCTGTATTTTGTTTTTGAATATTTACCTCTGACAGGAAAGAGAGAAGGGGCAAAACAGTGGCCCCTGGGCTTCTCTCAGACCCTCTCCACCTAATCATCCTAAGAAGTGACGAATGGGAGTGAATGAGAGAATAAAGAGGGCTAACAACAGGACTTATTGCCTCTAACCTTTAGCTAACTATGTCCCATTTCCTCTTACCAACTCTACTGCTGCCACATTCTCTAGCCTTTGCCACTGAACCGGTGATATACAGACTAGCAGAATCAGCCCCCCCCCCCCCGGGAACTTGTCTGAAATACAGAAATACAGTTTCACCCCAGACTGAGTGAATCAGAATTTGTATTTTAACAGGACTTGTTTTAAAACAAGATGATACACCTAATAAGATGACTCATATGCACATCTAAGTTGAAGGAGAAAGGCTGTAGTAAAGCCCCAACAATTAAATATACATCCAAGATCTAGGGAGTCTTGCTTATGGTGAAACAAACAAACCTTTTCTCGTCCAAATAAAGTTTCATAATTTCTTGGACTACGTTCCCCAGCCCTTCCTCTTATAATACTGTCCCATTTTGTGAAATGTTAAAGTTATAAAATACTTACCGAAAGCCTCCTTGCTTAATATCAAAATTAGAGTTTTTCTTTGCTTTGATATCTTGTTTGCAATAAAATACTTTTTCAAATGTTAAAATAACCTTAATAAATGGCATATCATTATGTTTACCAAACATATGGATTAAATGATGGTTGAAAAATATTCCTAAAGAAGGTACAGAAAGTGATACTGTTACTAGTAAGGACATCTGAAAGCCTACTCTACTGCCTTCTGGGAGATTAATGAAGCATACTGCACTGGCTGATGTTAGCCATCCATCTGGCCAGAGAAGGTCCCAAGTAGTCTTGCACATGGCATGCTCATGACAGGTGCACTTATGATGACACCAAATACGTAACTGGCTCAATTTTTTTTCGAAAGACAAATTTTGCCCTCTCTTGAGTTTCAGCCTGGTCTCAGCAGTTTGTGTGGGTTTCGACTTCTCCCCACGTTTACCCATTAAAGGTTGGTAGTGGCAGTGGCTTTGTTTTATTTTGTCTTACACTGAACACATAACCTTAAATCTGACTGCGGGGTGGTAGGGTGGGGCGAATAGAAAACAAAAACAGAACTCCTCCCAGATGTACTCACTTTAAACTCTCTATAAAGCACCCAGAAGAGCCAGCAATAAAGCCCGAGGTTCCTAACTGCTCCAAGCACTTTCTGGGGGTTTTCTCAGTTCTTCAAGAACACTCCTGGTATTACAGGCAGGTTACAAGCACGGTGAGGTGACTATGCTCACTAAAAGTTAAAGCACCATTTTTCTCTCAAATTTGCCCCACTGTGAAATGACCACCTAGTTTCAGGGAAGACAGGCGTTCAGAAAAGAGAACTTACCTCATTTGCTTATGCAGTGCATATGCTTCAATCAAAGAATGTACCATACTGGCCTAAAAATTCAGCATAAAAAAAGGCAGAAAATAGTCTTACAACTTTATTTCAGTGCAATCCCATCAGCTTGACCATCCTAAGTGAAGAAACTAATGGCTTTAACTGTCCTCCCTTTAGTTACTTAAGTTATGATACACTTTAAACAATACAGTTAGATACACTTTAGAGAATATGAAGTATCAAAATTGCTGAGTCGGAAGCTACCCGGCCTCACGCAGGGGATGGAATACTTTTCTTCACTAGCTTCTTTTCCCCTCCAACGATCCCCTTGTAGTGGAAAAGGAACCCCTCCGCGCCTTCCCCTCCCCCACCTGTCCGTTGGAGCTTGGCAGAGACCACGCGCAGCGAGCTCAGAACCGGTTAAAGAGGACACTTCCTCTTGGTACAGTTTTAGGGTACCGGGCACAAAATTTCTGCTGACGACTTTCCACAGCCCCGTCTCCTCTCTTTTCCCTAATGCCCTCTGGTCCACACCTTAGCCTCCTACCCTCAAAGCCCGCAGGCTTTCGTTGCCAACTCTCTTACCCGTTTGGGGACCTTGGCCAGGGAGTCGCACATGCTGACATACTCGGGACTGTAGATGTAAACTGGGGGCTGCGACTGCCCACCGTATGCCGGGTCCTCTGGCTCCTCCATCTTCCACTTCAAACTGCTCCAGAGCCACCGTCCGGATCCGGCTTTTTTCGGACTCAGACCCGGCTCGAGTTCCTGCTCCTCAGATCGACCGCAGCTGTGCTCCCTGGTCAACATTCCCTCTTATTTCTGAGATCGCCGGAGATACTGTCCCCATCCAGTTGAGGGAATGCATGGATGTTCACAGATCAGAAGCCCCTCACTTAGGGTCCATCATTTTAAAAAAGCCCTAAGCAGATATATAAGCCCAAATAACTGCCAATTAGGGTCGAATTTTTATGGCACAAATAAGTACCATCAAAACTAACCATCCTTGTTGCCCTACGGGGCCATTTGAGATGAGGTCAGATTAGCTTGAAAGCATGCTGGGAGATGTAGTTTATAGCGGTTTTGAGTGGCGGAAGAGCCGGGTTTAGTCATAAAAATTGCAGCGAATTTAATTTGTAGCACCTGAAAAAATGCAACTCAGTTCTTTAGGAATTGTTTCATTCTGCAAATATATTCACTTTAAATATTTAAAGATAAACACAATGTGGCAATCTAGAGTACCCTACTCAACTACATCACCTGCTAAAGATAGGTTTTCCTGGGGGAGGAGGGGAGACTTCTTAATCGTACAAATGGTTTGAAAAGTTTACACAGTAAATTCTGTGTACCAACTGTAGTGTTCATTGCTTTCAGTCATTGTCTATATAAGAGTTAGTCTCAATAATTTATTCTGGGAAATCGAATAGCTTTTCCCCAAGAGACTAGCTGGCACTGTGGAAATGGCTTGATAGATTCAAATAAAGCAACGTCAAACATACTCAACAATTCATGAAATAGGAACGATGCAGGATGTTCTCAGTGGTGTTTGGAAATTTCAGCTCTTCTTCCCTCTCTGCTTTTGGTTGTGCAGCCGAACGAAGGTCATTAAGGAAATACTTTAGGTTTGGTGTGTGGGTTATGTTGGTCCACTCTGAAGCAGTTTTAAAATTACCAACAGCATTTCCAGGTTCCTGGATACCCTCATGATCTGACACAAGCTGGCCAATGCTCAGGTCCCCAATTTTCATACAAGCCTGAACTGACCCTACTGACATTCCTGAGTCAATCCAGTATTTGTACTTTCTTGAAAATTTAGCTTACTCTTTAATCTCTAAACATTTATTGAGCATTGGTACACGTGCATTGAATGTATTATCTGATTTCATTTTTGCATACAGTCTTATGGAGGAGATTTCACCTATTTTACAAATGTAGTTTGGAAGGAGAACATAACCATTCAAAGCCACACACTTCACAAGCAGAAAAGCAAGAATTCAAAATCAGGCATACATGACACTGAAGATTTCAACATTCCTTTCACCATATAAACTTGATTCTGCCAGGATGGCACTGGGTTACAACCTAACTTTGTTCAACTCTCCATTTAGTGTCCCATTAATACTTGGTGTGTACTGGAAATATTCTCTCTCTCTCTCTCTCTCTCTCTCTCTCTCTCTCTCTCTCTCTCTCTCATCTGTCTCCTCTGTCTTTGTTTTTGTCTCTGTCTCTTTCTCTGTCTCCCTCTGTGTGGTCTTTTTACTCATCTGGAATATAAGTCCTTATGTTTCTTTTATATCTTCCCATTAGAAGTAGCTCAAAGCTCTGCAAATATTCAGTCATCCATCAAACATTTATCCAACAACAACTAAGCATCAACTAAGTACATATTATATCTGTGGATTAAGAGAGGATTTGCAGTCTGACCTTTGCTCTCCAGGGATCTGCATTCTTGTAGATAAGGCAAATGCACAGGAAACAAAATGCACAAAGAGGCAGATAATGAATGTGAGATATTTAGATAACTTAATAAACAACCATTAAGTACTTAATAGCTGGCATTCACCAGATGGTAAGGATGTTTACTCAGTAGCATTTAAGAAAGTATTATAGGATAAACAGGACTTTGCTCTGTGAGGAGGGTATGCCGACTAAAATGAATGACATAAGCAAAAACACACAGGAAAAAGTTTCAAGTTGAGTTTAGCTCAAGGGTGCAGATAATGAACAGCTCTGAATTCTAGGGCAAAGAAAATAGATTTCATAGTGTAGTACATGCATTACAAAGTTTTTTGTTTGTTTGCTTGTTTGAGGGGCGTTGTGCTGGGGATCAAACCCAGGCAAATATTTCACACCCGAGTTACACTCCCAATGTCTTAGATAGAAATTTTGTGAGGCCAGAGATATAGCTCAGTGTCATAAGCACTTGCCTGGCAAGAGCAAAGTCTTGAGTTTGATCCCTGGTACTGAGAAAGAAAGAAAGAAAGAAAGAAAGAAAGAAAGAAAGAAAGAAAGAAAGAAATTTTGTTTTTTTTTTTATGCATTTGGTACAGGGTCTTGCTATGCAGCTTGGACTCCTAGTGATCCTCCTGTCTCAGCCTCCCCAGAGCTGGGATTACAGGTATGCGCCACCACGCCTAGTTTCAGGTAGGCATGATATGCTCCGGGTTCTGGGACCAGCATGGCATGTGGTACTGGGGATCAAGCGTGTCCTTGTGCTTGCCAGGCAGGTGCTTAGACCACTGAGCTATCTCCCCAGCCCATAGACAGAAATATTTTTTTTAATTCTATAGCTTCAATGTGTACGAAAGATTGACCACTGAAAGACTAGAGGCAGTGAGTACAATTTTCTCGATATAGAGTAATGAGAAATTAAATTGACTGGTGGTAGTGCGAAGAGGAAGGGAGAAATAATGTACTGTTAGGTTCAATATGACTTCCTTACTAGTTGGGTAGTAGAAAAAGGGGGGAATATGAAAAGACAGTCAATGGCAACTTAAACTCTGGGTAAAGGGAAGGTTATGTCAGTGATGGAGCATATGTGAGGCCCTAGATTCTATCCCCAGTACTCCCCAAATGAGAAAACCCAGAACAAGTTTATGAGTGGGAAGAGCTCATAGTGAATGGCAGAACTGACCCAGGAGTCTGATTTTAAAAATGTTGCATTTCATAAACTGCAGAGAGATGTACACATGTTCCTACATAAAGAACAGTTAGATGAAGTCATAAGAGTGGCTAAGATAGTCAAGAAAACACGGCTTTCTCCACTTGGATATATAATAGTTATATACATAATTTTAAAATTTCAAAACAAAACTGCTGATTGCCCTACCCAAGTCTGTTCCATCCCTTTTTCATCTTTCATAGCTCAACAAAGATACCAACATCTATGAAGTTGCCTAGACCAGAAATCTGGGACTTATTTCTTTTTGTTGTTCACATAAAAATCCAATCTGTTAGCAATCTCCATCAATTCTACTTTCAAGTCATGCCTTGTACATACCTACTTCTATCCCTCAGCATAGCTACTCTTCCAGTCTGGATACTATTATCTCTCACCTGGACTTTTGCAGTATTAAATCTGGCCTCTACTTTCACACTTGCTGTCCTACAACCCATTCTCTCTGTGGCCACTACAGTATCTAAAAAAAGAAGGAAATGGGTTAATGTCACCAAAACTGGCCCCACACCATACTTAGACTCTTTGAAGTGGAAGAAATGAAATTTTTGAAGATTGCTATTTATGGATGTTTAGAGGAAAAAATGATTCCAGAAAGGAGTGAAAAGACAAATACGGATTGTTTGGTAAGAACAAATGTTATACAGTTTCCCCGAAATCAAGGGAGGATGAAATTTCAAGATGAAAGAGATAATAAAAATGTTATGTATAGCAGAAGGATCAAAAAGCTCTTTTCCCTATTTGAAGCTCATTAGTGAACTAGGGTGAAGGGGAAAATAGGCAGTAAGAGAGCTGAAGCCAGATTATGATGGGTTAAACAATGAAGTCAGCACAATTAAGTGTAGCTTCCTTTTTTTTTTTTTTTTTTTTTTTTTACAAAATGTGATTGTGAAAGGAAGGAGTTAATCTAACAGGATGAGGGGACATCAGAGTCTAGAAATGTTCTTGCTTTAGGATGAGAGGGAGCTATACATATTTATAGACAGAAGGGAAGCAGTTTATGGGACTGTGGGCACTGAATGAAAGGTGACAGCATGACAACCCAACAAGGGTGGAAATGGGACTTGGCCTAGACCTTCGGGGATAGTCAGTGGAAAACAGTAGGATACAGATTGACCTACTGAATGACTGACATCCTAAATTCTTAACTCTTACTAGACAGCATGGAAATGAATTGTTTCATGTGTTCATTTAGATCTAGCAACAGAGAGACAAACACTTCAGTACTTGAGTGTACTTCTGAACTGGAAACAGTATCTGAGTGTAGCCTACAATGTGGTAAGATGAATCAATTTTGGAGAGAGATAAATTCATGCACAATACTCTGGAATTGGCAGCTTGTTCCTGTCACAATTTAAATCACCCAGAAAAAATGGACCCTGGCTCATGATTAAGACAGAATACAAATCATGCTACAGGTCTGTAACCACAACTTTTACATGCTTAATTAATCCCCACATGGTCCTTAAGTTGAGAGGAAACCTATTGCTGAGGTACTGCATTTGCAGTTGTGGAGGACTTGAGGTCAGAGGAAGAAGATTGAATCTTGACTCCCAAACTTGCTCTGGTAATGACCCTGAGCAAGTTACTTGACTCAGTTTCTGTGAACATTATTGCTAAATGTAACGTTGGAACCCACAAGGTGAGATTGGACTGTGCCACGTCTTTTAGTGTTCTCCCCTCTTTCACTTACTGGCTGAAGCAAGCTGACAGGGAAAGTAAACATTAAAAGGTGCTATTTCTTTTCTTTTTTTTTTTTAAAGGTGCTATTTCTTTAGCTACCTTCTGTACTCATTTCACAAGCCTGTCACTGATGCTTCAGTGGGTTTGTTCTTTTTCCCCTCACTAGCTTCTAATATCTTTTCCTTGGAAAGTGTAAGTTATAAACGAATGTGTACTCTAGAGTCAGACTGCATAAGTTCAAACCCCAGCCCTACCACTTATTAGCAGATTGCCCTTGGGTCATTTGTTTTAACTCTCAGAGCTTCAGTTCTCTCACCTGTAAAATGTGGACACACACATACATGCAGATGTGGATACACAGTTCTACCTCACATGGTGACTGTGAAGTAAGATAAGATTGTACTAGGGCAGGCCAAGTAGCTCAGCAGATTAAAGCACCTGCAAGCAGGTGCAGGGCTTAGGTATTTGATCCCTGGGCCTGCTGTGCCAGCCCTGCCCTGGGGCATGCTGAGATGGCAATTGAGACTGGACGTGGTGGGTTGTGCCTGTAATCCTAGCTCTTGGGAGACTGTAAACAGGCAGAACACTATGAGTCTGATCTAGTAGTGAGACCCTGAACACCCTGTAGACCCTTCCCTAAAATACAGGAAGAAAAAGATTGTACTGTGCCAAGTACCTATACAGTAATGGCTGACTTTTGTTGTTGTTGTTGTTTTTGCAGTACTGGGGATTGAACTTCAGACCTTGCACTTGCCAGGCAGGTGCTTATGCTGCTGAGCCCAATGGCTGGCTTTTGGTAAGCACTGAATTACTGGGTTTTTTATAGACCATTATGCCAAATAGTCCTTACTATTTATAGAAAGTTTTCCCCCACTATTATCCTTATCTTAATGCCACTACTGAAAGAGTACTACTAAGCTTTGAGAATGGGTCCTTGGCTTTGATGGCTCTACCTAGCCTTACAAAAACCAAAATGAAACAAAACAAAAAACCCCACCAGGCTTCTACTTCAGCTTGTTGGCACACACCTGTGATATCGACTACTTGGGAGGCAGAGCCTGGATTATCACAAATCCAAGCTAGTCTGGGACCCTGACTCAAAATGAAACAAAAATTTAAAAAGGGACGAGAATGTAATGCAGTAATCCCTGGGCACAATCACCAGAATTTAAAAACTTTACACTTCTGCTAAATACAGGGTGGCCATATTATCCAGACCAGAACACTTTTGAGAGTGACACTGTGATGTTTCATAATTATGCCAGTAAAATAGATGTAAATGTTGGCTTTTCTTGTTGCTGTTGTTGTTTGCGGAACTGGGGTTTGAACTCAGGCCCTTGTGCTTGCCAGGGATGCACTTATTCCACTGAGCCATCTCCCCAGCCCTTAAATGTTGGCCATTTTGGATAAACCAAGACTTGAGGTCCTTCAAATTAAGTAGAAAATGAAGACTCAATTTGAAAAATACTGTATTAGTACAGATAGCAGCCATTTGATGAATACGAAAAGGGATGGTAGAGGTTTGTGAATTATTGCTAACAATGACAACTTTTACCCTATTAGTTGCATAAAATTCCTAGAGTGTAGTAGAACTTAATTATCCAGGATGGGACTGCAGAGACAAGGCTCATCCTTATTGGATAAATCCTCTTGTTACGGATGGCTAATGAATATTATAAACAAAATTATGCCAAATGTTTATAAAAATTAAGATAAACTTTTAAACTCTCCTTCAGCAGACTAATATGCCTGCTTAGACAGAGTACAGCAGCCGACGTTGAATACCCAGCATGCCGTCTGGTGGCGATTGAGAGTGGGCATGGTGGTGCGTGCCTGTAATCCCAGCGCTTGGGAGGCTGAAAACAGGAGAATCACTATGAGTCCAATGTGTGGAGTGAGACCCTGTACTAAACACATACAAAAAACTTCTATTCTCCAGTATTGCAGAAGCATCATTTGTACACAACTGCAATACTTCTTATTCCTTCATCAGAAGAGTTTCCCTAAACACACCAAAAAGCCTGTTTGACTTCATTGAGCCTAACTTTAGTATGCATTTAAACAAGTGTTATGGTTTGTGTCTAGTTGTCCCCCCAAAGCCTCATGCAGTCATGGGGTGAGGACTTCTAGAGTTTGTGTTAGTTTGTGATCCACTGGGATTATGTGTGATCCAAGGCTGGGATTATGGGTTTTAGTACTGCTGGGATTACCCATAGGTGGGTAAGTACTGGGAAGTACCCATAGGTGTGAG